TAGAAGTTTCGCATCTTTGTGCTTAACAGCATTATTAGCAACCAAAACTAATCATAGATATCAAACGCGTTCGCAATATGATACTAACGTACCTAATATGTTTTCTTCTTCAACGAAGTTCAAAAATTGCTTTTCTCCTTCAACAATTACTCTTTGGGACACCTTGCCGCCTGACATTAGAAATTGTAAGAGCTTACTTAATTTTCGATAATCACTGAAGAATTATTTGTATAAAGCCACTGGCTTATCCTACTGCATAACAAGATTTTTTGCAAATGGCACTGTCTTGTATTTTAGCGCTGGCGATCGGACGCAATTTGTTGTTGATGTTAATTATACTTTATTGAAAGTACTACTGTGATTCGAAAAATGGCAACTGCCCCTTAATTTTGTAAAGTGTGATAGACAATTATTAACTAGGCATACGGATGCAAATATAGGTCTTGTTAAGAAAACAATTATTTGATATATCAAGTAAATGAATGTTATTTATATATTACATATACAGAACAGTAGAAAACTGGTTCGAAAGTAGCCGCGGGTCTCTGAAGGGCTAATGCCCCGTGTCTGGCACTAATCCCAACTAGTAACACCTAGAAAAGTAATTTAAGGTCGTTTAGAACATTTTGATGTTTATTTTTAAATTTAAAGAGAAGCTGTACAATGACGAAAGTAGTGAAGACAAAAGACTGAGCGCTTTCGAATTCTTTTTCAAAGTCTTGAGGTGAAAAGAACGAAGTGAAGAGAACTGAAAACGCTGCAGAAATGATCAAATATCATGTCTTCGTATAGGAAAATATCTATAGGAAATAGATGTTAATCTATGCGGACGACCATATAACAACATGTAATGCGATGTCTCTCTATCAAAAATCGGTCGCAGTTTTTGGTATAAAAAGAAGACAGTTCTGCTGTCGGTGTTTTTATTCCACTAACTATCGGTCTTAACGGTTCGCCTATCTTGTGATCTTTTGGATTGTAGTACAAATGCGGCAACTCACAATCTTTCTGGGAGGGTTTTAGTCGCTCGTACTGCCATTGAGATAATTGTCTCTTTCCAACTAACTCACGTGGGAGTATATCAGCATTGTGAATCATTTGTCCAAGGGGATTATAAGTAATTTTCTTGTGGGCGCTAGTTTTTGCCATATACTCATCAGATTTCTTATCGTATGTCTCTGGTCTATCAATATGAATAATTTTTGATTTGTCCGTTTTTCGGAAAATTACCACGTGTTGTTTCTGTTGCTGTTTGAAGTAATTAATCGCTTTCTCAAAGCTTTTGTCGATCTTTTCACGGGAAATCCTATCAAAACTTTCTTCCTTAACTCCAGTCGCAAATTTATCTACTACTTGTCGGGGGATGTTTCGTGCTTGTATATTTTCATTAAATCTGAGCTGTATCTTATCTCGCATGGTTTCTACTTCTTATGGCAGTCGGCGAAGTGCCATTTTAGGGTTGGGTTGAACATAAGCAGGACCTTTATTCAGTATTGATCTTTGGTATCCATTCAAATTTAACGCGTAATTTTTTATTTGAGGAAGAAACCCTATCGCACTAACATGGGGATGGATATTACTACTACTACTCATTAACTTGGATTGGTTTTTGAGTTTTTGAGACTCTTTTTTCTAAAAAAGGTACTTTAATATCGGTTTTGGATTCTGAACGTTCCTTTTGGACTATTCTGTCTAAATGGGTGAGAATGCTTTTCTCTTCACTGAGATAGGCTCTTATTAATGCTATATTTTTGTCAATTTGCAATATCTCAAGATTTTTCGCTTTTATCATGCATTGTGTGAGATCCAGTTTTGTGTCTCTCAATGCAGCGTCCCATTCTTTTCGAATAATCATTATCTCAGAGTCATTTGGATCAATGTATATCCTTAATCTAATATCTAACTGTTTTAATGCGGGTGGGGGTGATTTGGCATTGCAACGAGCTTCTAATTTAGCTAGTTGCATGGCAAGTTCATTTCGTCTTTCGTGCAAGTTCAAAAGTATAGTGAGATTTTCTGATTGTTCCTGAGTTTTAAACTCAATTTTCAATAGGTCTCGATGTCTTTTTAAATCAATTTCCGTGACTAAGTGTTTAATTTTGTTATCATGGATACCTCTTTGTGTCCTTATAAACGGTTCTACCGATTCTTGAATATATTTATTATTCGATTCTGCAGCTTCTAACTGCTGGTCTTCCGGAAGGCACGAGATACCTAACATGTCTTTCAGTTTCCATCTAGCGGCATGAAAATGATGATCTGCTTGGAGTTCTAATCTCGTAATGTAGTGCTTTTTAGTCACAATATTCTCAACCCTAACGGGGATATTTTCTCGTTTTAGAACTGTTTAGACTTCATTGACAATAATTGGGAACTTCCCCAGTGAATGGTCTATTATGAGTCTGCCATCATTGTTATTATGCATCACAGCATCATCTCCATCAATGCACTCATCTGGGTCTTCTAAAGGACTAGCTGCACGAGCGTACTCGCCCCACAAATCAGCCTGTAATTCAAAATACTCGGAAAGAAATTGTAATTTTTTGATGTCAATTAAAAATTCTGGCTCAACATTTAGGAAAATTTCTGCACTTTGTTGCGAAGAAATTTCTCGTATAAAATTTTTAGGCAAAATCAGGTCGATGCTGTCTACCAAGTCAAAGATGCAAGATCGTGAATCGTATTTTGATGTTGCAAAGATGCAGAGGAAGATGATTCAAGTATTTTTGAAAACAAGCGATAATTTGTTCTCTGCCGTCGAAATTCGGATATAATCTGTCATATAACGAGTTTCTGATAAAATTTGCAATCGAGAACATCGAAATTTAAACGTTGTGAAAGAAGCTCAAGTTTTTGGTTTAAAAGTACAATTTCTTCGTTTATTAGAGCCTCAGAAAAGTTATGAAAAGAATTTGTTCGTGTACGAAATTGTACTTTTACGTAAGAAATGCGTCGTATGTTAGGATACGACCGTTTTGTCACTTCAATCAGTTTTTCGATTCGTTTGATGACGTGATCGGCATCGATCCAGGCGATGTCGTTAGTACTTAGCACAAACGTAAGGCTTGTACTATCGTTAAGTATGTAATCAAGATGGCCGGAAGAAATCTGCTCAATATAGTCGGTAGTTTGAAAACCGGAATTTGATTTGATTTTTACGGTGAAATAAGAATTGGCTAATTATGAGGTTTTACTCGAGCAGCCATAGAAGAGGAAAGGATGACATGCTTATATTTACTATTAATATTTTGTACTTGCCTAGTATTATTTCCATTTGATTGTTTTTCAATATTGCGCGTTGATTGTGTTCTTCGATGACTATAGTTATTAATTTGCGGTCGTAATGATCGATGAGGCGGTGAGTTTCGTTTTGGAAGTCGAGCTTTTCTGGCCTCTGTTGGTGGACCGGTAATATTATCCATTTCGTCCATTTCGAAGTCGTCCAGTGGTCGTAGAACGTCGTACGGATTAACAGACATTAATGGTTGCAAAGTTATTTGTTTTCGTTCATGAACCGTTTTCGCGTAGGACGTCCGAATAAATTTATTTTTTGTATGTTTATATCCTTTTTTGTATGTTTATATCCTTCGTCTGGGCTAATCTTGGCACCATATCTTGATTTAATGTTAATAGAGGAGCATACGTGCGTAGCGGACGAGCTGGAATATAATTTGAAATGTCCGTATAACTGTTAAAATTTGACGATCTTCCTCTTTAAAAAACAGATCCTTACTGGTTTCGCAGCGTTGGTGGAGGTTGATAAAAACTTTTATTGTAAAACGTTTCGTTGGCGAATGTGATCTGTGTGAAGTGGTTCATGATGCATTATGGTAGTAGCAAAATAATTCCGAGTATTCGGACATGGTGGTAGCGGACGATTTCTAAATGAAGAAAAAGCAGGTATAGCGGCTGTAGATTTTCGAGCGACCGGCACAATACTCATACTTTTTTGCTTTCCTTGTGGCATCATCCAGTTTGGAAGATCTGTTATTGGTGCACGCGGCTGATCTTCATCCATAGCGTTAACCGAAGATCTGGTTGCGATGGCGGTTGGTTCTGCGGTGACTGCGGCAGTTGAAACTGGAGCCATATTCATTGACGGAATTTGAAAATCAAATGCAGATTGAAAGTGAACATTTAGTTCTTCTGTCTGTTGTGTGTCGATGCAAAAGTGGTCAGTCTGCCCTCGTACGATCTATATATTTTCGTCTATGAGAATATTTCTAGAGAGAGATTTGTGTTCAACTTTTTACACATTCTCTAAATTCCTATTCCACTTTTAGTTCTTCCTCCGTCGAAGAACGGAGGCTAAAAATCCGTAGTGGTTTGACAATGTAAGACAGCTTAATTTACCAACCGAATGTCTTTCATTATTACCAAAATCAATAGCATTGTTACTATTAAAGGGCACAATAGAAATAAGAACTTTAGTGCAACAACGGAGAGAGTTTAAACTCTTAATTATGCTAAACCAAGTGACTAAATTATAGGTTAAAGAGGCAGCACCAGTTTTTCGAGAACTCAGTTCTATTTACACGAAATGAAAAAAAACATAAGATTAATCTAGTATAAACCATATTGAACGGGCATTCTTTCATTCTCATACTTTTTGTGAGTCTTATTTTCATTGCGAAAGAGCGAGAGATAGGGACAGAGTCAGCGAAGACATACTGTCGAAACGAAAATATAAGACCGGTTAATATTCTCTGAATAACTTTCGAATAAAACAAGAAAAAGTATGCGACTTTCAACAATCGACAGTCAAGACGTAACTGGATATGTGTACTAGAAAAGTGAGTCCAAAAGACCACATGCAACTGATGTACGTTATTGGTCTTGGAAAGGTTTGGTTGCCAGAGTGGGAACAACAACATATTTTTCAGAAGCTATAAGGAATTTCGAATATTTAGACTGTCGCCTACAAACTCACACAAGTCAAAAAATTTTTTTCTATCGCCATTGTGTTCGAAGTTCCACTAACGATAGTTGGCTGGAGAAAAATAAAACGAGGAAGTGAAATCATACGTAGTTTTCTTTCTTTATAATATTCATTCAATGAATTTCATCAGAGCAAAATTATTTTTTAGTTCATCAGTATCACTGTAGTGGACACACTTCGACCACAGCCTACATACCGCACAAGAAGGCTTGACATAAGCATGATATATTTTTGAACTTCGTTGAAGAAGAAAACATATTAGGTACGTTAGTATCATATTGCGAACGCGTTTGATATCTATGATTAGTTTTGGTTGCTAATAATGCTGTTAAGCACAAAGATGCGAAACTTCTA